TCCCGAAAGTGACGCCGGAGATCCGCTGGCGAGGAAGCTTGGAATTGACGACCTTGAAAGGAGAATGAAAGCTTGAAAGGGAAGCCCCATCTGTATTTGATATCCACTGACTGAAGAATCCGAAGATAAGGCCTCAGAGAACGACGTTTGGCAATTGTGACTGGGGACAGATCCGCGAACAGATGGACAGAATGACCTTGAAACTCCAAAACTGAACGATTCCGAGCTGCCTGCAGTAGACGTTCCTTAGTGCGATAGAAGTGGAATTTAATAATAATGTCTCTGGGAGGACCCTCCGTGGGCTTAGGTGCTAGAGCTCTATGGATACGATCAAACTCCAGACGTTCCATAGGAATCTCAGGGGCCAGCTCCTGGAAAAGAGCAGTTGCAGTGCCCTGCAGATCGGTGATTGCCTCCGGGATTCCACGGATGCGGAGATTATCCCTGCAAGCTCTATTCTCAGCATCCTCCAACTTATCTTTCAAAGTATCTAGCTCAGCATGTAGATCCTCCACTTCTTGTTCGTGACCCTCCAAGACTGTAGTTGCCAGATCCATGCGTTGTTCCAACTGATGGGCGCGAAGACCCAACTCTTTTAGGCCTCTCACCAGGTCGGAAGATAATTTACGTGAGGCAACAGTAATCTCCTCTCGCACTATAGTGCAAAATTTGTGTAATAAGGCTTCGGGATCATGTTCAAGAGGATCAACCATCCCCGACGGGAATTGCCGCTGACTATCACCATCAGACTCAGGGTCTCCTGGAAGTTGGGTGTTATCATCAGGCTCAGGCGGGCTAGGTATCAACTTGGCAATGTGGCCCTGTGAAGGGGATTGCTGTTTGGCCCGGTGTTTAAGTTTAGTGCGGGGAGTACGGTGCATTGCCGAAAGCGGTCCACAGATTTCCAAGTCGCCCTCGGACTATTGAAGTGTTATGTTAGGGTGTAGAAGCCCAATGGCCGAGATGAATGTCTCGGTGGCACGGCCCAAGGAGGTCACTTTGGCATTTCCCCCCGGTACGTGTACGTGTCCCCCACCGGGGGGGGGGGTATTCACAGAAGGTTCAACATAGTGCAACAGTCAGTGAAAGATAGATGGTTATGGTATATAGGCCAGGTATGCAGGCTGTGTATAGGTTGCCAGAAAATATCCCAGGCACCCCTGATTTATCCACTGGGGAAGGGAACTATGCAAAAGGATGCCTTCCTCCATCCAGCATCCGTCCTGTAGCAGATCAGACCTCCTGTATCCTGCCAGGATCCTGCAGGGACATAGAATAGTCCACCGAGCCACCAGGAGGACTATGGGAGCCCACCCAGCCTGCCCCAATAGCTGACCTGACTCCAAAGGTTGGCGGGCAAGGTGATAGTGCGGCGGGCCGGCCGCGATGGCGATCCGCTCCGGCCGCGGATCTAGGAAACACCGCGGCTTCACACGCCGCGGTAGGCCTCAATCCACCCCGCGCCCCCCAGGAGCTCAGAGAAGGGGCAGAGCAGCTCGACACCCCTCCTCAGATGTCAGGTAGAGTCTGGGCAGCCGGGGATCCTTCGTGGGCAGCCTCCGTATCCCGGATGGCAAAGGATGGAGGATCAGGGTGCCGGAGCTTCAGAAAGAAGCGTCTGCTCCCGGCGCCATCTTGGACACGCCCCTCGTGTTCACTTTTTTCATCCTTTGTTCCACTCCAGTGCTGCTGATCTCTTGCAGCCTCTTTACAACCACTTCTTGTATACATGGACTCCAGTGATGGTTGCATGGTATTGCTTATGGCAGGTTTCCTGATGGTGACAACAGTGGACCATGCTTGTGTAGTGTGTATAGAAACAGTCATTTCCTCCCCCCTCCCTCCCTGTAGTCTTCTGGGACATGTGACAGGTCCCAGAAGGCTGCAGGACATTCACAACGCACAGCAGTACTCGCGCATGCACAGTGGGCAACCGGCTGTAAAGCCGCAAGCTGTCACAGCCCACACTGAAAATGCCGAAGCAGAGGAGACAGGATGGTCAGTCAACCCGGCCGGTAAGAGGACACCGCAGGATCGAGGGACATGTGAGTGTCCGTTTTTTAAAAAGTCAGCAGCTATAGTTCTGACTGGACCTCCACTTTCAGGAATGCTGTAGATTTCAAAATATTGAAAATGACTTTGAAATGGCATGAATTAAAGATTATATGAAAGTTCAAACATTTACATGTATTTTATTGGGTTTAAATCTACTCTAAAGTAATGAGACCTTACATAACTCAATAGAGCCCCATCAGCATCACTAAATCAATCTGTGAGTTTAATCAACCGTGTATAGCCTAGGAAAAAATCATACAGTCTCTGGCTACTATGTGTATTGGGTTTTTGACATCCTAAAAGACTGCAGAGAGTCTATGGCTTTCATTTAGACAGGCATTAATGAAAAATGAAGATCAGCAGGAAGAAACCAGTAGACATAAAATGCTGTCCCATGTACATATGTAAATACAAACTACACAATATAAGTTTATCTTCTACACTTTTATAAAAAAAATTACATTCAGCAGTCCTTGTTAAAAGGAGCCTTTACTTTGTCCAAAGTAGGTAAATAGGTGACAGCGAAAAAAGTTGCCACTCCTAAGCTCAATTCAGTATTTGGAAACTTAAATGCAGGCATCAGATGGAGTTTGTCCATGCTTCCCATACAGTGGGGCAAAAAAGTATTTAGTCAGCCACCAATTGTGCAAGTTCTCCCACTTACAAAGATGAGAGAGGCCTGTAATTGGCATCATAGGTGGACCTCAACTATGAGAGACAAAATGAGAAAACAAATCCAGACAATCACATTGGCTGATTTGGAAAGAATTTATTTGCAAATTATGGTGGAAAATAAGTATTTGGTGAATATGAAAAGTTCATCTCAATACTTTGTTATATATCCTTTGTTGGCAATGACAGAGGTCAGACGTTTCCTGTAAGTCTTCACAAGGTTGGCACACACTGTTGCTGGTATGTTGGCCCATCCTCCATGCAGATCTCTTCTAGAGCAGTGATGTTTTGGGGCTGTCGCTGGGTAACACGGACTTTCAACTCCCTCTAAAGGTTTTCTATGGGGTTGAGATCTGGAGACTGGCCAGGCCACTCCAGGACCTTGAAATGCTTCTTAGGAAGCCACTCCTTCGTTGCCCGGGCGGTATGTTTGGGTTCATTGTCATGTTGGAAGACCCAGCCACGTTTCATTTTCAATGCCCTTGCTGATGGAAGGAGATTTGCACTCAAAATCTCACGATACATGGCCCCATTCATTCTGTCCTGTACATGGATCAGTCGTCCTGGTCCCTTTGCGGAGAAACAGCCCCAAAGCATGATGTTGCCACCCCCATGCTTCACAGTAGGTATGGTGTTCTTTGGATGCAACTCAGCATTCTCTCTCCTCCAAACACGACGAGTTGTGTTTCTACCAAACAGTTCTATTTTGGTTTCATCTGACCATATGACATTCTCCCAATCCTCTTCTGGATCATCCAAATGCTCTCTAGCAAACTTCAGACGGGCCCGGACGTGTACTGGCTTAAGCAGGGGGACACGTCTGGCACTGCAGGATCTGAGTCCCTGGCGGCGTAGTGTGTTACTGATGGTAGCCTTTGGTACGTTGGTCCCAGCTCTCTGCAGGTCATTCACTAGGTCCCCCCGTGTGGTCCTGGGATTTTTGCTCACCGTTCTTGTGATCATTTTGACCCCACGGGGTGAGATCTTGCGTGGAGCCCCAGATCGAGGGAGATTATCAGTGGTCTTGTATGTCTTCCATTTTCTAATTATTGCTCCCCCGGTTGATTTGTTCACACCAAGCTGCTTGCCTATTGCAGATTCAGTCTTCCCAGCCTGGTGCAGGTCTACAATTTTGTTTCTGGTGTTCTTCGACAGCTCTTTGGTCTTCACCATAGTGGAGTTTAGAGTGTGACTGTTTGAGGTTGTGGACAGGTGTCTTTTATACTGCTAACAAGTTCAAACAGGTGCCATTGATACAGGTAATGAGTGCAGGACAGAGGAGCTTCTTAAAGAAGAAGGTACATGTCTGTGAGAGCCAGAAATCTTGCTTGTTTGTAGGTGACCAAATACTTATTTTCCACCATAATTTGCAAATAAATTCTTTCCAAATCAGCCAATGTGATTGTCTGGATTTGTTTTCTCATTTTGTCTCTCATAGTTGAGGTCTACCTATGATGCCAATTACAGGCCTCTCTCATCTTTGTAAGTGGGAGAACTTGCACAATTGGTGGCTGACTAAATACTTTTTTGCCCCACTGTACATACATTATAGCAAAGGACAGGCCGCATACAGATGATCTTGCCATTTCAATAAAACTTGATTATTATGGAAACCGTGCACAAAAAGCACCACCTGGGTCCCATCTTGCTCTGGCATGTTTTAGCCATTAACAGGCTGAATCATATAATCTACATTCAAGTCTGTTCCCAGGTGAAATGCATCAGTACAGTGAGGTTCCTAGGTGGCACTTATCTGTGAATTGTTTTTTGAATAATAAAGTTTTATAAAAACGCTGAGATCATGGATGTGTGGACAGACTTTTGCTGTGAAGTAGGTAAATAACAAGTGTACTTTAGAGAAGGCAGTGTAAATATCCTGTAGTTACCTTTCCAGTGTTTTCCTGTACCAAAGCCCCATAAAAACGGAACTTCCAGGAATGGAAAAACTTGCGACTCGCCCAAACCCCCTGATATTCACCTTGCTAGCACTCCCTTGCCATTTTTGCTCTGTTGTAGCTCCTGCTAAAAGCTCCAGTGTGAGGTGCTATGAAAAGCGGTGATGTTACATTCTCTGTTAAGTGATAGTGTTCTAGACCAGAGAACAGCTAGTAGACCATAGCACCATCAAATGGGAGGAGGTCAGATCCAGTACCTCATTGGTGCTTTGGGATATGGTGAAGCATGTGATCTCCTCCCATATGAGAGTGGGGGGTCTAGCATGTCATGTTGGGGACCCTCAGTTCTTCCCTGTTGTATAAAGTGCAACCACTCACCCAATAGCATACAAGGTCTGTATTGGGGTATTCCAGCCCCGCCCCCTCGCCTGGTTCATAATCAGCTGCTCTGCAAAGCTGTACGTCATGGTGCTGGGTTTGCCAACCAAGGCCTCATAATGCAGCTCCTTCCCCGTGATTTTATGGTACAAAGTCTCCAGGCACACCAAGAATGTCCCATGGCCAAACCTAAACAGGACAAATAAGGACAGATCACATATGGAGCTGAAAAAGATTAAAAATTTGTTCCTAAAAAACAAAAAATCAACATTGTGATGGAAATCTGAGGTATTTTCTGCTTTTTGTCTCCAAATTGCTTTCTTTAGGATGACGTCTGTGATGTCTCTTGTGGGAGGTACCTGCTTTGCTCATGCTTCCCACTCAGCATCACCCCTCATTAAAGAGGAACTTCACCCTTATCTTAACCCCTTAACGCCAGCGCCTTCTAGCCCTTTAGGTTTCTGATGCTGGGAGGCGGGGTTTCTGATCATGAGAACGCCATGATTGGCTGTCCCAGCAGTTAGATGATCGGAAAGCTCCTGATCACAAGTAGACATAACTGTGCCAGGAGCACACAGGGAGCACTCTTGACACAGCTCTGTTTACATTCTGGTACGCATATATATGGCCTCTCCGCATTAAGGCCCACCCACCGAGAGGCCGCATATACACTGTGTGCACAATTATTAAGCAAGTGAGTATTTTGACCAAATCATCATTTTATGCATATTGTCCAACTACAAGCTGTATAAAGTTGAATACCTATCGGATTGAAGCATATCAGGTGATGTGTATTTATGTAATGAGGGAGGGTGTGACCTAAGCAGATCAACACCGTATATCAAGCTGTGCATAATTATTAGGCAGCTTCTTTTCCTCAGGCAAAATGGGTCAAAAAAGAGATTTAACAGACTCTGAAAAGTAAAAAATTGTAAAAAGACTTTCAGAGGGATGCAACACTCGTGAAATTGCTAAGATATTGGGGTGTGATCACAGAACCATCAAATGTTTTGTTGCAAATAGTCAACAGGGTAGTAAGAAACGTGTTGAGAAAAAAAATGCAAATTAACTTCCAAAGATTTGAGAAGAATCAAACATGAGGCTACCAGGAACCCTATATCATATTCCAAGAACTGCAACCTACCTGGAGTGCCCAGAAGTACAAGGTGTGCAGTGCTCAGAGACATGGCCAAGGCAAGGAATGCTGAAACCCGACCACCCCTGAACAAGACACATAAGTTGAAACGTCAACACTGGGCCAAGAAATATCTGAAGACAGGTTTGTCAAAGTTTTATAGACTGATGAGATGAGAGTGACTTTTGATGGACCAGATAGATGGGCCCTTGGCTGGATCAGTAACGGGCACAGAGCTCCACTTTGACTCAGACGCCAGCAAGGTGGAGATGGGGTACTGCTATGGGCTGGTATTGTTAAAGATGAGCTAGTTGTACCTTTTTTGGGTTGAAGATGGACTCAAAATCAACTCCCAAACCTATTTCCGGTTTTTAGATGAAACTTTCTTCAAGCATTGGTACAGGAAAAACAGAATTTTTTTGTTACTCACCGTAAATCCCAGTATATATACTGCTATTTGTAAACGCTATAACTTTTATGTAAACCAATTAATTTACACGTATTGGGATTTTTTTTTAGCAAAGACATGTAGCAAAATACATGTTGGCGTAAATTTGACAAAATTAGATTTTTAACATGACATGTTTAATAGCAAAAAGTAAAAAATACAGTTTTTTTTCTCAAAATAGTCAGGATTTTTTTTTTTAAAGCTCAAAAAATAAAAAATGTACAGGCGATCAAATACCACCGAAAGAAAGCTCAATTCGTGGGGAAAAACAAAGGACGTAAATTTAATTTGGGTGCAGCGTTGCATGACCACGCAACTGTCAGTTAAAGTAACACAGCGCCGTAACACAAAAAATGGCCTGGTCAGGAAGGGGGGTAAATCCTCAGGAGGGCAAGTGGTGTACTGTTTTCCTTCACCGTAAATCTCCTGTTTAAGAAGGGCCACAAGTTCTCAATAGAGTTTAGGTCAGGTGAGGAAGGGGGCCTTGTCATTATTCTTTCATCTTTAAGGCCTTTACTGGCTAGCCACCCAGTGGAGTACTTTGCTGCATGCAATGGAGCATTGTTGTGGTCTTCTTGAAAGATGTAGATTTTTCTCTTTCGTTCATTGAGGGCCACAGCCTCATAATCTTGACCGTAGGGTTATATCGTCACCTTCAGGATTAGGCAGAAAAAAAGAACAAGCACAGCACCGCCTGGTACCAGGCCATTTTTTGCATTACGGAGCTGTGCACCCAAATAAAATGTATGTCCTTTTTTTGCCACGAATTGAGCTTTCTTTCGGTGGTATTTGATCGCCTGTGCATTCTTATTTTTTGCACTATAAAAAAGAAAGGCCGACAATTTTTTTTTTTAAAAAAAAACATTTTTGACATTTGCTATTAAAAATGTTATGTTAAAAATTAAATTTCATCATAAATTTAAGCCAACATGCATTCTGCTATGTCTTTCCTAAAACAAAATCCCAATACGTGTAAATTAATTGGTTTACGTGAAAGTTATAGCGTTTACAAATGGCAGTATATATACTGGGATTTTTTTCTTTCATTTTTACTAGTAATGGCGGCAATCAGCGACTTATAGCGGGACTGCAGCAGACATTCTGACACTGGGGGGAACTGACTTTGAGTCACTGACATCCCCAGTGAACCAATACAGTGATCAGTGCTAAAAAAAAAAGCACTGACACTGTACTAATGGCACTGGGCAGGAAGGGGTTAACATGAGGTGCGATCAAAAGGTTAACTGTGTGCTAGGAGTGTTTTACTAAGGGGCGGTGTGTTTGTGTGTGTGATTCCCTGTAATAACACTGCTGTGGATGGCTGTGTTGTGCACAGCCATCCACAGCAGTGTGCCCGAGCTGACAGAGAACTGTTAGTAAACAAAACAGTTCTTCTCTCTGTTGGAGATCCTCGGTGATTGACAGCCATGGCCGCGAATGGCTCTCGCACGCCCCTACCCGGAAATGCAAAATCACGCATATATACATGATTTTGTGCACTGCTGCCACACTGTAGCAGTATTTCTGCTATAGGGCGGTCGGCAAGCGGCTAAACAGTGTCAGGGAGGCTGTGGTTGCTACTGCACAAAAAGTTGATCGTCAACAGACCAAGAAACTGACAGACTCCATGCATGGAAGGCTTATGACTCTTATTGAAAAGAACGGTAGCTATATTGGTCACTAATTTTTTTGCTTGAAATGTCAGAAATGTTTATTTGTATATTTTGAGTTGTTTGTCTATTATTCTCACTTTAACAGATGAAAATAAACAAGTGAGATGGGAAAATTTTAGTTTTTCATTTAGTTTCAAAATAATTATGCGCATAGATAAATAACTGTGCACACAGTGTATCCGTACTACCGGTGGGAAGAGGTTAAATATCACAGCAAAGGTACCTTTAGAAATGTTTAGTAATGACCAGGGGCGGACTGACAACTCATGGGGCACCCGGGCAATAAGAGATAATGGTGCCCCCTGTGTCTTTGCCTTTAGTAAAGCCAAAGCCACACCACACAACACCCCACCTACATATTGTAGCTCAGCTGTACAGAAAGGGCATTAAAAATAATTTTAAAAAATAATAAAACGTTGTGGGGTCCCGCCTCCATTCATACCAAGCTCTTCGGGTCTGGTATGGGTTTTGAGGGGAATCCCCATGCCAAAATTAAGAAAAAAATGGCGTGGGGGACACCTCCAAGATCCATACCAGTTCCCCCCCCCAAAGCACCCTGTCCCCATGTTGATGAGGACAAGGGCCTTTTCCCCACAACCCTGGTCTGTGGTTGTGGGGGGTCTGCTGGCAGGGGGCTTATCGGAATCTGGAAGCCCCCTTTAACAAGGGACCCCGGATGCTGCCACCCCCCCATGTGAATGAGTAAGAGGTACATGGTACCGCTACCCATTCACAAAGAAAAGTGTAGTGTAAAAAAAGACAGAAGGCAGTCTTTGACAAGTCCTTTATTTAAAACAATGTCCCCAGAAGTAGATCCAACGTCAATCACAATGCCCCCGCCGCCGCTACCCAAAAAAACAAAAAAAGACTCCACTCCCGATGCTGGCTCACGGCCATCTGACTGCTCCGTTGGCTTTACAGTTCTTAAATATGTAAGGGGCGGGGCCATCCAGTTATTCACACATGTGGCCCCACCTCCTTGTGGCATCATAGTCCCAGCATGCCCCGGTTGATGACGCCACAAGGAGCGGGGTCACACATGTCATGTCCCCGGGTGGCCCCGCCCCTTACATATTTAAGAACTATCAAGCCAGCGGAGTAGTCAGACGGCTGGGAGCCAGCGTCGGGAGCGGACAGGTCCCAGAAGACTACAGGGATATTCACAAAGCACAGCGCTTCTCGCACATGCGCAGTGGGCACCCGGTTCTGAATCCGCAAACTGTCACAGCTGGGTGCTCACACTAAAAAATGCCGGCGCCAGGGAGAGAAGACGGCTGGTGAAACCAGCCGTGGTGAGGACACCGCTGGACCGAGGGACAGGTAAGTGGCTGTATTTTAAAAGTCAGCAGCTACAGTTTTTTTTTTTTTCAGCTGGAACTCCGCTTTAAGGGGCAGCTGCTTTGGGCCCTGCCTGGCGCTGCTGCACAGAAGAGCCGAATGGCCGGTCCGGTATTCTAACACGGCGGCGGGGGGAATACCGAGCCAACCGCTTCATAAGATGCGCAGACATTTCCCCCCATTTCTTGGGGGGGAGAAAAAGTGCGTCTTATGGAGCGAAAAATATGGTAAGCGACAAGCAGAACCCACATATAAATATCTTCAAACTATGAAGATGTTCAAATTTAATTTATTTAATTGGTTAAAGGTGGCATGTGCAGACACAGTGACTTGGTGCTCTGCAATAATGTGAATGGAGGACTGTTTGCTATGAGTGAGAGGAGCTGCTCGCTATCTGCTACAGTAGGAAAAATGCTCTGTATACTGCGGGAGGATACTGATCACAAAATCTATTAAAGGTATTTCCAAATCAAAAGCCATGGCTGGATGGCTAACTGAGGGCTCAAGCTTAGAGCAAGAGATGTGGCCTTCAGAGCAGATGACCATGTGGCCTAAAGGAAAGCTCGAAATTAATTATAGAAAGGCATGAAGGAGGGTAAGCGAAGATATAAACAGTGCATTGAATCTTATTTTGAGAATATAGAATCTATTAGTATGTGGAAGGGGATTAAGGCAATGGTAGATTTTAAATCTAGCCCTAAACAGGTTTGTAACCTAGTACTCCGATACCTTAACCACCTCCCGCCTAGACATTTTATAAATACAGTTGGGCAAAAGCTTCCTCAATTCAGGAGGACGTACGTGTACATCCTCCTTTTCTCGCTGCTCGTGTGTGACCCCGCATGTGCTGTGGTGAGTGATTTTTTTTTTTTTTGTGGGCTTATTTACACTTGAGGTACGCTCTTCAGACTGCTGTTTTAACCTCCTAAATGCTTAATTATCGCAGTACAACCGCATGCGTTGTGCGCAGTTGTGGGGCAGCTACAGAGTGGCCTCATTCCTAATGGACATCAATGGGAGTGCCTGTATGGGTATGCATGGAACACCTGTGCATCCTCATGTGATAAGGAGGCCTCCACACAGAGTACGCACTGATATTCCTCATGTGAAAGAGGCGTTATGGTGACACTTGGGTTGATGTGGTGGTGACCAGGTATACTGTGACTGGCTGTACTATTTTGGTCTCATTCACATGGGGCATATCACTGCATATTCTGTGCAAGGTCCATGTTTATCTGCACAAAGATGTACAGGTGTTAGTGTATCCCCGTACAGGCAGTCTCATTGTGAATTGGGATGCAGCCGCTGCAAGGACACAACCGCGACTCCCAATCTGACATCTCTGCGGGTGCACGGCCCCGAATGCAGACAGTGCGACCAGCCAGTAACAGTGTCCCTGATCACCATTACACTCGTCACAGTGTCATCAGACCAGTGCATCCAGCGGAGAGAGGGGCCAGAACATGGCGCTGTGAGCAGCGTGTAGTGGGAGCTCCGGACGTCCTGTCGAGGACTGATTGCTGCTGGGTACCGTGCTGTGTGGACTGAGAATGGCCTGACCCTTACCTGCCAGCCCGCGCCCTGTGGGCTGGAGGGCATCCACAGCTCCCGGTGTGGTGCTCCTGAGAGCGTG